TGCCGGTAGACCTCGACAAGGGTACCAGGTGTAGTAGGACACAGACTCGTCAAACCGGACGTCACGGGAGTCTAGGAAATAGTGGAGGGGCGGGTGGTTAAAGGACAAGCCGGCAGAGTCCACTGGGAAACCAAGGAAGACACAGGGGACGGCGCGTGCCGAGAGCTTGTCAGCGGAGGTGTCGTGAACAAGCGCAAGGCAGCCCTATACACGAAAGGCCGACCCAACATCAAGGGAACCGGTCCAAAGACTGGTCGGTGAAGCCTCGGTCCGCGAGACACGTGGCTGGAGGTTGAGCTAGTGTGCGGCGTAGCGAACCGCGTAGGGCCACAGAAAATGGGGCGCACGGGCATGGATCATGGACGTGCGAGAAATTTCCATGACCAAGCCAATGCGGCGCTCAGCAACCCTATTCTGCTGTGGGAAATCAGGAAGCGTCCAGGATTGTACGATGCCCTGTTCGCCGCAGAATCCGCCAAGAATGCCGGAGCGAAACTCGCCCCCACGGTCGGAGTGTAGACAACTGACACGACGACCACGAGTGCCCTCAGTAGCTAGAAGCCACCGGATCAGCGTAGACGTCACCTCGGACTTCTTCGCAAGAGGGAACACTGTGGTGTACCTGGAGAAGTCGTCGACGACCACTAGAAAGTAACGCTCCCTCCCAGATCCTTGCGCCGGGGCAGGGCCCCAGACGTCCAAGTGGAGAGTCTCAAAGGGAGTAGTGGCCGGACGAAGGGAGGAGGAGTGAGGAGTGGCACGTAAGCGACCGGCGACGCAAGGAGTGCAAGGGGGAGCATGGGAGGTGGGGAGCGACGGAAAGGTGCATGGGAGACCGGTGACAAGCCCGTGAGCGGTCATCCTGCGGAGGCGGGGGATCGACGGGTGGCCAAGGTGGTGGTGCCACAGGACGGTCCGGTGGATGAAGGACCGACAGGAGCAGGACGCAGCGACTGGACTAGACAACGCAACCTGACTAGACACTGCAACTGGACCAGTCACGACCACCTGGCTAGACACACCAACTGGACTGGACACCTGGACTGGAGGGGATGCAACGACCTGAGCGGAGGATGGAACTGGGGAGCGCTTGGTGTGGAGAACGTAGAGAACGGAGCGGGGCTCCCTGGTGAACGTGGCCAGAACAGCACCTGTGGCAGCGTCTGTACAGACCGCAGTCCTCCCACCCCCCACAAAGGTGACCGTGATCCCCCTGTCCTGGAGGTAACCAACACCCACCAAGTTCCGATTGAATGAGGGGATGTGGGGGCCGTGCAGGACACCAGAGGGGACCACATGACACGGGAGGGTAGTGGAGCTACGTGCAACGGCTGGTCCTGAGGTAGGATCAGCCAGAGCCACCGAAACAGGAGTGAGGAATGGCGTGAGGGTCGTGTGGTCGCGGAAGAAGCACTGAGATGCACCAGAGTCCAGCGTGAAGGACAGGGACGCCTTAGCCGGAGGGTCACCTGTGCTAGTGGCTACACAAGCACCTAGTGCAGCAACACAAGCACCTAGACTAGAGAGGCACAAGTCTACACTAGCTGGAGGCAAGCAAGCTAATCTACGAACACGCAAGCACACAGATCCATCAGCACTATACTCAACATCAGCCTACAAAGCATGCTGACGAGCATCGTCCATGGACAGATTAAACACATCAATTTTACGGACTAACAAGCAAGCCCAGCAAGGCGTGATCGCCGCAGGGCCCCAACGAGCACGGTAGAGGTCGTCGAGGCGGCGGAAGCACCGCGCGGCAGAGTGATCGTCGCAACCACACAGACAAGGGCTGCCCAGTCCGGTGAGGCACCAGTGGGTGCAGGGGCCAGTGTCACTGCGAGGGGGGCGAGAGGCCCAGCTGGAAGTACTGCCACTACGGCCGGTGCTCCCTGGTCCTCCCGAACCCCACTGCGGTGGGGGACCCCAGTGCTGCTGCGGACCCCACTGCAGTGGGGGTCCCCACTGCTGGAACTGCGGCGGTGCCTGCTGCTGCTGCGGCCCCTGCTGCTGCTGGTGCTACTACGACTGCTGCTACTGGGGTCCAACACCCCCACCGGTCGGGCCACCACCAGCGGGCAGGCCTGTCTGTCCTACACCTCCTCAAAGGCCCCCTCCTCCTGGTGCACCACCGCCACTGCCGACGCCGCCGCCGCCTCCACCACTGCCGCTCCCACCTCCACCGCCACCTCCACCGCCGCCTCCACTGCCTCCACCTCCCCCCTTCCCGCCCTTCTTGCCACTCTTGCCCCGTTTCTGCCAGTCTGCAGCAGAAACGACAGTAGTGTCCTCAGAAACCGACACAACGGTAGAAGCACGGGTAGCACTAAAAGTGGGAAGCTGAGGGGCGGCACACCCCGCAAAGAGACAGGGGGCCACCGCGTCAGTGGCGGAGGCAACGGTGAGGAGGCTACTCTTGATCGTCCCGAGAGCGGTCTCAAGGAGATCGATAGTGAGCTCAGTGGGGTGCTTCTGGAGAAGCGCGTCGCGAGCAGTGGCAAGGCGGTCAGGGAGGCGAGTGACTAACCAGTGCACAGTGAGCCACATGGGGGGGCGGGGCAACGAGAAGTTGGGCGTCGGTACAGGCCGCACGGAAACCGGCCTCAAGTGAACGCAGGTGAGTCACGAGTTCGGACACAGTCGCAAACGAGCCAAGGTCGGGAAACACGAACGGCATGAGGAGGCGACTGAGGGAGGCAGAGGAAGGGGTGGAATAGTGCGCAACAACAGCATCCCAAATCCCCTGCGCAATCTCCATCTGGGCAAAGTGGACGGCCTCAGTCGGTGGGAGGAGCTCCGTCAGCGCAAGAGAAGTGGCAGCGTCGCGGGAATCCCACACGTCCCTTGCCAAGACATGACGGTCATAGTCCGCATGTGCCGCAGGAGTCGGCTCCGGGTCGGTCGGGAGGGGGTCGGGAGACAGGGGCGCCGTCAATGCACCAGACGCATGGGCCTATAGGGTGGCGATGTCCTGACGCTGATTGGTGAGGTAGCGTATGGTCTGGCGCTGCCAGGTACTGAACTTAATCAATCGACCCTCCACATCGAAACGAAGGCGGCGGGACTCCATACTGGAGGCTAGGCTAGAGACGGCTGGAGCACGGAGGAGGCGGGTCTAGGAGCGAGGAGGGAAATCTAGGATCGCCAGTTGTGGCGAGGCAAGAGACCGGCGGAGCTAGTGGATAGGAGCTAGTGGCTACACGGGTCTAATCTAGGCGACCGGTGAGAGTAGCGGCTGCCAGCCGCTGACCGAGAGACCAATGACAGTAGGAACGGCGGGGGACCCAGCGAACAGGGCGGTGGTGGGGAAACGGTCCACGTGCCTAGTGCAGTGGGTGCGCATGGGTCGAGGGCGCGGGCTGGGTGCGGGCTTGGGGTAGAGCGCGGGCTAGGGGCAGTTTTCGGGCTGAACGCACGGCGCTTGCCGAGGGCAAGGCGTGGGCGAAGGGCAGAGCGCGAATGTGCGGGCAAGGCGTGGAGGCTCGGAGGCGCGGAGGCACGAGGAAGAGTTGCGGGTGCGCGAGCTAGGGTACGGGCATGGCGACGGGCTAGGGCGACGAGCTAGGGCGTGGGCCTGGGCGACGGGCTAGGGCGCGGGCCTGGGCAACGGGCTAGGGTGCGGGCCTGCGCGACGGGCTAGGGCGCGGGCCTGGCCGACGGGCTAGGGCGCGGGCCTGGGCGACGGGCTAGGGCGCGGGCCTGGGCGACGGGCTAGGGCGCGGGCCTGGGCGGCGGGCTAGGGCGCGGGCCTGGGCGGCGGGCTAGGGCACGGGCCTGGGCGACGGGCTAGGGCGCGGGCCTGGGCGACGGGCTAGGGCGCGGGCCTGGGCAACGGGCTAGGGCGCGGGCCAGTGCGACGGGCTAGGGCGTGGGCCTGGACGACGGGCTAGGGGCGCAGGCTAAGGTTGCGGAGGGCGATGAGGCACGGAGGAGGAGGGCGCTAAGGCATGGAGAGGGCGCAGAGGATAAGGCACGGAGGGCGCGGAGGTGCGCTAGAGAGGGCGCGGGCTAGGAAGTAACGAGGAACTAACCTACTCGTGATACCATCTCAAAGTTAGAATGCAACAGAATGTGTGAATTAGGGTTGGGAAGGATACAAAAAGGAGACATACCAAAGCTATACTCACTAGAGAGTACCTCACTGCAACCTATCAGAAGGTTAACATTTGACACATACACAATAAACTGGAAGTCTACGATTTGCACGATATTGATAAGAAACGAGGAATGAGAATGACCAAGGGAGAGTTGGGTACAAGTACAAACCCTAGAAATGTGATGTACCCCATATGTGCTACCCCACTATAGCCTACATAGGCTAAGTCATATAAGCCTGACACACCCCTATAGGCAAAGTGGGGGAGAACAAAGAGTCAGTGGACCATTCAAGCAAAGCAAAGCAAGCTCAGGGTGGATCACAACGTCACCACACAGTCCGAGCACAAGAGCAAGGCCACAAGGCCAATTCACATGCAAGATAATATATATAAAGGTAAACAAGCAAGTGCAGGTCTAGAAAGATCACAGTACAAGCAAGGTCAAGAAGTGAGCAAGTGAGGCCAAGTAGGCACAAGACCTAGCATCGTACAGAAGCGCTGATTATCACAAGGCGGAAGCGCCTTGGTAAAGATATCAGCAGTGTTGGCCTCAGAGGCCACGTAAGCAAGGCGTAGCTGACCACGCTGCTGCAGCTCACGAGCAAGGAAGTAGCGAAGAGCAATGTGCTTCGTTCTGTGCTCCAGTCTGTGCTCCCGACACAAGGCCAGCATGGCCTTGTTGTCTACGTACAGAACTCGAGGAGAACGAGGCGCCTCTCCTAGGTCAGTCAGAATGTAGGTGAGCTAGCGTAGCTCCTGTGCAGCCATGGCCCCCGCGTAGATCTCAGCCTTACATCTGGAGGTGAGAACAGAAGACGAGCGGGTAGACCGCCACGAAACAGAGCCGGAGCCAAGGCTGAAGGTGTAACCCTGTGACGACCGCTGCGTAGCGTGGTCGTCAGCCTAAGAAGCGTCTGCGTGACCTGTGAGGACCACTGGACTCCGCCCTCCAAGCACTAGCCCCATGCTCGACGTACTGCACACGTAGCGCAACACCCTCTTCGCTGCAGCCATGTGCTCTGGTCGGTGTCTCCCAGGAGCAACATAGCGTGCCAAGATGCTAAGAGGGTATGCAAGGTCAGGTCGTGTGCAGGTCATCAGGGACATGAGGGAGCCAACAAGCTCTGGGTACGGGCCACTCGGCTCTACGGACTCATCCGAAGGCAGAGCTGAGAGCGAGTGGCGAGTAGACAGAGGAGTGGCCTGAGGCGAGGAGTACGTGAAGTCAAAGCGCTGAAGGACCTGCTGCACCATGTGTGACTGAGTCAGGGTAATGGTGCGCTGTGCTCTGTCCCGGGTGATCTGCAAGCCAAGGTAGCTGCGCAGTTCACCCAGGTCTGTGCACGTGTGTTGCTTCTGTAGCTCGGACTTCACGTGGGCGAGTCCAGCAGTGTCAGCAGTGGCAAAGACCAAGTCGTCGACGTACACGAGGATGTAGAACGGCGGCAAAGAGGTGTCGGTGCGCAGAAACAGCGACGGGTCGGCAGTAGAACGAGCAAACCCAAGAGCCGCAAGTGTAGTCCTCAGTGTGTCGTGCCACTCACGGGGCGCCTAACGGAGACCGTAGACTGGCCGCTGGAGGCTCCACTGGGTACCAGGAGGAAACGACCCTGTGAAGCCAGGTGGGCGGCGCAGCCAGATCTCCTCGTGCAGGCTGCCCTGCAGGAAAGCTGTGCTGAAATCAAGAGAGTGAAGCTCGTAGTCTCGTTGAGCGACTATGTGCAGCAGCACGCGAAGAGTGGTCATCTTCGGGGTGGGAGAGAAGGTCTGAAAGTAGTCAACTCCCTGCCGCTGACTGAAGCCTCAAGCCACATAACACGCCTTGAAGACAGGCGGAGAACCCGGCGGCCGCTTCACCCTGAAAATCCACATGCCACTGACGATGTTCACCCCAGGTGGGGGAACCTCGTCGACGTAGGTGCCTGTGGACTTCCAGGAAGCCATCTCTGCGTCCATGGCTGACTGCCACTGTGAGGAGTAGGGACCCTCGATCGCCTCAGCGTACAATCGAGGAGTCGGGATGTCTAGTGCATCCGGGTCTCCCTCAGGGGCAATCAGCGTGGACACGAGATAAGGCAAAGCAGCAGCAAAACACTGGAACTCCTCCTGCCTGTCCTCAAGGACGTTCGTGCTAAGAGCACACTCACCCTCGACGGACGGAGGACAGACAGACTCAGCAACAAGACTAGTAGCGTAGTCTAGACGACAGGGAGCAGCAAAGTTGACAAGCTCAGCAACTAGGGTAGACGCAGCAGTGGACTCAAAGGAAGGGTCAGTGACAACAGTAGTCAGGAGACGCGTGACAGTAGGACTGGCAGCACGAAGAGAGTCAGACTCCGGGTCAGCAAGAGCAAGAAGAGAGGACTCTAGAGGAGACGGCAACGGGACACGCAGAGGAGCAGTGGAAGGACGCAGTGCCACCTGGTGTGTGCCTGGGACTGTAGGAAGACGCAGACGCGGAGCACGACGACCGGTGCAAGCAGCACGAACAGGCAACGCAGGACGAGACGCAGGCTCACGTCGCTCAGCAAAACCTCTAGTAGGACCAGCATAGGGAGAGGGAGCAGGCAGGGGGGAGGCAGGCTGTAGCTGTCACTGTGACTGGACAGGCTGTGGACACTCTAAGGGAGGAGCAGGACCAGTCGAGGGCGGGATACCAAGAACCTGCTCAAGAAGGGGAACGAAGTACAGCCTCGGCCGCGCAGCGCCTCCAGAACCAGCAGGGACAGGACCAGTAACCCCAGCGGCAGCACCAGCACCAGCAGTACCTCCAGCTCCAACAGCGCCAACTCCAGCACCCTCAAAAGCACCAGCGCCAGTAGCACCACAAGCGCCAACACCCCTAGCAGCTCCAGCTCCAGCAGCTCCAGCACCACCAGTACGAGCACCTCTAGGTTCAGCGGCAATAGTAGAAACTCCAGCTCCAGTAGTACGGCTCCAGCGCAGGGCAAACCACTCGCACAGCTCCTTCGGAGAGAGTGGCTCCCGCCTCGACGAAGCACCGCGAGAGGCCACACGAGCAGACTGAGCACCCCCAGGCTCCGCACCCCTTGGCTCAGCACCTCCAGACTCAGCACCCCCAGGCTCAGCACCCCCTGACTCAGCACCCCCAGACTCAGCACCCCCAGGCTCAGCACCCCTAAACTCAGCACCCCCAGGCTCAGCACCCCCAGGCTCAGCACCCCCAGGCTCAGTACCTCCAGACCCGGCACCCGCAGGCTCAGAACCTCTAGCAGCACCAGAGTCAACAGCTACCTCGACAGGCTCGACTGCGTCTACCTGGGACACACCTGACGGGGCAGGACCCTGAGGGGGGAGGGGGTCTACCGGGGGAGGACCTGGCACAAGGAAGAGCGGCGGCGGGGGAAGAGGCGCAGCGCGGTAGGGGATGAGACGGTAGTAAGGCACCGACTCGTCAAAGGTGACATCCTGGGAGGATAGAACATGGCGCGAGGTGGGGTGGTAAAACCGCCAACCAGGCACATCAGGGGGAAAGCCAAGGAAGACGCAGGGAACAGCACGGGGGGACAGCTTGTCCGTAGACAAGTCGCGGACAAACGCCCGAGATCCCCAGACACGAAACGCAGACGCATCGCCAACCTTCCTCGTCCACTGCAGGGTGGGGGAGGTCTCTGGTAAGGAGACCCGGGGCTGAAGGTTGAGCTGATGCGCGGCGTACTGAACCGCAAACGGCCACAGAAAATGGGGGGCAGCCGCATGGATCATGGACGTACAAGCGACGTCCATGACCATGCCAATGCGGCGCTCAGCAATCCCATTTTGCTGTGGAGAGGCCGGTGTGAGAAATGAGGAATGAAAGAAGAGGGAGGTTCACTAGCAAGTAGTTGAGTACATATAGCAAACCCTAAATTAGGCTGTACTCACTATTGAGTACCCCACTGCAGGCTAGATAAACATAACATTCTGACACACCCCCAGAGCCAAAGTGGGGTGTAATCAGCACAACAAGCAGAGCACAACAAGCTCAGGGTGGATCACAATGTCACCACACATTCTGAGCACAAGTACAAGAAGCAACAGTTTAAAGTTCACAAATGTAAGCAAAGCTAGAGGCTATCGCAGAGGGCAAGTGTGGAGGAGGAGGGACTATGAGAGGAGAGGAGGTAGTGGGCGGGAGCTGAAGCTGCTGGCACACGGCACAACCGGAACAACTTGCACACGGGCAACTGGAGCAACTGGCACACTGGCAACTGGAGCAACTAACACACGGGCTACTCGAGCAACTGGCTCTGCGGCTAACTCTGAGCGGCAGGAGCAACGGACTCACGGGCGACTGGAGCAACGGGCTCACGGGCGACTGGCACAACGGGCTCACAGGCGACTGGCGCAACGGTCTCTCGGGCGACAGGAGCTGCGGGCTTCACAGTGGCCACCCCCTTCAACCTCCCGAAACTATCCCACCCCCATTTCACACACCCCCTACAGCACCCCTAGGTTCACTCACACCCCACCCCCTAGCACCACTCCGTCGACTCCCACATACCCACCCCCCTCAGCGGCAGCTGCAGCAGTGGGAGACAGAGGAGGAGGAGGAGCAGGGGAGACCACACACCCACCACCCCCTACTCGCCACACCCAAACCCTAACACAGGGCAGGGCGGGATGGCGGGTAGGGAGGCTACGGGGGGGAGGGGGGGGGAAGGGGGGGGGGGGGGGGCGACGCGCGGCCTCCTGGGGCGCCAAAGCAAGCGGCAGAAGGGGCGACGCTCGCCCCCCCCCCCAGGTCGCCCCTCCCGTCGCCTGTCGAGGCGACCTGAGGGGGCCGCGTGCGGCGGCGACGGGGCCGATAGGAGCGGCGACGGGGCCGCTAGGGTCAGCGACGGGGCTGCTGGCGGCGGCGACGGGGCCGATAGGAGCGGCGACGCGGCCGCTAGGGTCGGCGACGGGGCCGCTGGCGGCGTCGACGGGGCCGATAGGGGCGGCGACGGGGCCGCGAAGGGGCTGCGAAGGGGCCTGAAAGGGCGGCGACGGGCCGCAAAAGGGGCGGCGACGGGGCCACGAAGGGGCCACGAGCGGCCTGGAAGGGCGACAACAGGGCCGCGAAGTTGCCGCGAGGGGCTTGGAAGGGCGGCAACGGGGCCGCCAAGAGTAGCGCGAGTGGCACGCCACAGGGCGTGCCGAATACAGAGTAGCAGCGAAAGCAGTTGAGTGGGCCCACAGGCCAGGACCGTAGTCGCTCGGATAGCAGGTGAGAAATGAGGAATGAAAGAAGAGGGAGGTTCACTAGCAAGCAGTTGAGTACATATAGCAATCCCTAAATTGGGCTGTGCTCCTATTGAGTACCCCACTGCAAGCTAGATAAATATAACATTCTGACAGCCGGAAGCGTGAAGGTCTAGCAGATGCCCTGTGCTCGACAGAAGGCTCCTAGACGAGCAGAGGAAAACTCCCCGCCTCTGTCAGAGTGCACACGCAGAACAGGAAAGTCCGAGCCGAAAATCTCTCTAAGCTGGAGACGAGCTGCGCGGATCCAGTCGATCAACACCTCAGTGACGTTGCCCTTGCTGCGCAAGGGGAAGACCGTCGTGTAACGCGAGTAGTCGTCAACCACCAATAGGAAGTAACGCTCATGCCTCTGGCCACGGACGCGGGCGGGGCCCCACACGTCCATGTGAAGAGTCTGCAACAGAGCCTCTGTCGGAGGAAACTCAGAGGAGTGACGGGCGGCGCGCTGTCGCCCCTCGACGAAGGGGACGCAGGTAGGGGCAAGCCCCGGAGGTAGGGGAGGGAGAGACCGGGGGAGACCAGAGACAAGGACACGGGAGGCCATGCCTCGGAGACGAGGCAGGGAGGGGTGACCAAGGCGGTGGTGCCAAAGGAGAGTCTGGTGAGACAGTAGACGACACGAGCAAGGAGCAGACTCAGGACTAGACCTGGACGCTGCAGCAAACACCTGACTCGACGCAGCTACCTGACTAGACTCAGCAGCCGGAGGAGACTTAGTAGTGAGGGTGTACAGGCTCGACCCTGGCCGACGGGTGAACGTGGCCAAGTGTCGGCCTGTCCGAGCACACGTACAGTGGGTCACCCGCTGACTCACAGGAGTGAACTGGTCAACCCCCCTATCTTGTAGATCAGCTCCACTCACCAGGTTCGTAGAGAACGAGGGGAGGTAGAGACCTGACAGGGTGCCAGAGGGGGCTGCCGGACACGGTAAGACAGTGGAGAAGCGAGCAAGGACAGGGCCCCCAGAGGGGTCCGCCAGGGAGACCGCAACCAGCCGACTAAGTGGTGTAAGCGTGGTGCGGTCTCGAAAGAAGGAGCGGGAAGCACCCGAGTGAAGGGTGAAGGTGTGTAAGGCCTGAGCCGACGTAGTACCTGAGAGAGCGGACTCACCAGCACCTAGGGCAGCAGACGCACTAGCACCTAGAGCAGCAGCCTCACCAGTACCTAGAGCAGCAGTCTCAATGCCCGGGTCAGGCGGAACACACAGGTAACAGTCACCCTCAACACTATCACACACAGCATACATGGCAGCAAGAATAGCATCAAAATCAAGATCAAAGATTGCAACCCCCACCCTAGACAGCTCTCCCCAACGAGGGATCTCAGAGGCCTCAGGGAACTGGTGACGCCATGCGTCCGTCAGGCGGCCAAAGCAACGCTCGGTGGAGTGCGGGCCCCCGCACCGCTCACCAGCACGGTCGCCGGTACGGAGAACGTAGGTGCAGGAACCAGTACCCCCACCGCTCTGACGCGCAGCGTACCACTCACAAAGCTGCTGAGGGGACAGGGTCTCACGACTGCGCTGCTGCTGCTGGCGCGGACCACCACCGGAGCCACTCCTCTGCGCACAGCCGCAACCAGGTCCACTACTGCTGCCGCCGCCTCCGCCACCTCCGCCGCCTCCGCCACCTCCGCCGCCTCCACCACCTCCGCCGCCTCCGCTCCCTCCGCCACCGCCGCCGCCTCCTCCGCCTCCACTGCTGCCACCAACACCTCCACCCCCGCCACCACTCCCACCTCAACCCCACCCCCTCCACTGCCTCCACCACCACCTCCACCGCCCCCGCCAGCCCCTCCAGCGCCCTTGCTCCCCTTGCCCTTGCCGGTGCGGCGTCTCCCGCTCGGGGCAAACGCAGCACCGACCGACTCGAAACCAACGAGGTCGGCCGCAGCAGCAGAAGCAACAGAGGGCAAGAGGGGGGAGGGGGAACACCCCTCAAAGACGGGGGTGCGAGGGTCACCACGAGAGGCTCCTATAGTGACTATGCTCTTCTCTGCTGCTAGGAGGCGCTCCTCGAGGAGGTCGACGGTGAGTGTGGTGGGGCAAATTGAGAGGAAATGGTCCCTGACTAAGCGAAGGGAGTCAGGGAGCCGGGTGACTATGTAGTAGAGGGTGATGTACATGGGGGGGGGGGGGTTCTTGGCACAGAACTCAGCAGGAAGCGCAGCGCGGTAGCGAATGTCACTAGTGCGAAGGTGAGTGATGAGGTGAGCGACTGTGGGAAAGGCAGCAAGGTCAGGGAACAGGTACGGCAGCATGAGGCGGCTAAGAGCAGCAGTGGCAGGGGAGGAGTAGCGTGCAACTACAGCGTCGTACAAGGTCTTAGCACTCTTGTACTGGCTAAAGTGCGCACGCTCAGCGGTCGGTAAGTTACGACGCACAGCAAGGCGAGCAGCAGTATCGCGTGTGGCCCACTGTGAGTGAACAGTGCTATCAGCAGTAGCAGGCGGGGCGGGAGAGACACCAGAGGTGAGATCGAACGGAGAGAGTCTGTCTGCCCTATCGCACTGGAGAAACAGCTGGAGGTCATCGACCCAAACCTCAAAGTCAACGGCACGGCCCTCAGCATCAAAGGTAAGGACACTGGGGGTAGCCATGTCTGCAGTGGCCTAGTAGGGAGTGATCTCACCAGTCCGAGTAAGTAGGGTTGAAGCGCAACGCTAGGAACAGCAGCGGCTCGACAGTAGGGTGGCTCGGCGGCTCGGCTGTTGGGCGGCCCGGCTGCTGGGCGGCTCGGCTGCTGGGGGGCTCGGCTGCTAGGCGGCTCGGCGGCTCGGCGGCTCGGCTGCTCGGCGGCTCGGCTGCTGGGTGGCTCAGCTGCTGGGCGGCTCGGCTGTTGGGCGGCTCGGCGGCTCGGCTTCTGGGCGGCTCGGCTGCTGGGCGGCTTGGCGGCTCGGCTGGTTTCAGCTTCTGGGCGGCTCGGCGGCTCGGTCGCTGGGCGGCTAAGTGGTGATGGGGCCGGTAGGGGAGGCGACGTGGCCGCTGGGGGAGGTGACGGGGTCGCAAAGGGCGGCGACGGGGCCTCCAGGGGAGGGCAACGGGGCGGCAGGTGACGGCGACGGGGCCGCAGGTGGCGGCGACGGGGTCGCAGAGTGGGCCGCAGAGGGGCCATACGGGGTCCAGACGGGGCCGCAGAGGGGCCGCAAGGGGCCTAGACGGGGCCGCAGAGGGGCCGTAAGGGGCCTAGACGGGGCGGCGACGGGGCTGTAAGGGGCCGTAAGGGCGTCGCGAGGGGCCGGAAGGGGCCGCGCGAGGGGCGTAAGGGCGGCGTGAGGGGCCGTAAGGGGCCGCTAAGGGCGGCGCAAGGGGCCGACGGGCAGTGCAAGGGGTCGTAAGGGGCCGTAA